CAATAATATAGTTTTCAATTTATCAAGGTATAAATGATAGATTCTCATATTTTATAATTAAAAAATAACTATTTGGTCTTACAAATAACTATTTGGCATTATAAACTATTAAATAGAAAAACAATAAATATAATATTTTACCACAAGAGAAACTAAATGCCTGGTATCAAACAAATTATAATCCTGTATTTGAAGCATGGTACATATTAATTACTCATAAATAATATTACCCAGAAGAGTAACTTAAGCACTAATTCAAGAAGTGTAATAAAAGACATCTGGAAGGCTTATCCATAGGCTTTTTAACCTAAAAGTCTGGCTTTTAGATTAGAATTTACAAAGATAAAAATCAGATAATGCCAAGATCAGAGTAAATTATTTAGAACAGTTGCTTTTATTTTTTCTCCTCAAGGCAAGGCTCCTTGTGGGATTCACTCTGAATTCATACATCTTCCTTTCTCTGAAACTGTCCTTTCTTCCATTCATTTTTTATAAATATCCACTTAGTGCAATATAAAACAGGCTATTTTTTTTTTTTTTACTATTGTTTGTACTACCTCTCCATTTATAAAGGAAGTGTGTTAATTTAGTACTCTATAGATACATTTATATACTCCAAGGACTCCTGGAACTTTATTCAAATTGGCCACTACCTTTGTTGAAAACAATTTTAAGCCTGGCTGGCGTGGCTCAGTGGTTGAGTGTCAACCTATGACCCCGGAGGTGACCGTTTGATTCCGTCAGGGCCCAGGCCCGGGTTCGGGCTCCTTCCCCAGGAGGGCGAGCAGGGGGCAGCCGATAAATCACTCAATTGATGTCTCCCTCTCTCTCCCTCTCCCTTCCTCTCTTTCTCCCTAAAACAATCAATAAAAAACGTATCTCCAGGTGAGGATTTAAAAAAAACTCCAAATTTTTAAAAACCTAACTGCAAACTTACAATTCTCTTTTAGATGAAAATATAGATAGCAAAGGATTAAATTAAAAACATATGAAAGATGTCTACAATTATTATTACTACAATAATAAGTAGCCATCTCTACCAAGGCAGGTACCGTCATAAACACAAAATTCAACATGATGAAANTCTTTCTCTCTAAAACAATCAATAAAAAACGTATCTCCAGGTGAGGATTTAAAAAAAACTCCAAATTTTTAAAAACCTAACTGCAAACTTACAATTCTCTTTTAGATGAAAATATAGATAGCAAAGGATTAAATTAAAAACATATTAAAGATGTCTACAATTATTATTACTACAATAATAAGTAGCCATCTCTACCAAGGCAGGTACCGTCATAAACACAAAATTCAACATGATGAAATATACAGACACATATCCAAATGAGTAAATATATGAGCATTTCCATGACACAGAAATGCTCATATATTTACACAGAAATGCTCATATATTTACCTTCAACCACACAACTCAAACTGGCTTTTTCTCATTTGATCATAGTATTCTGATATTTTACTTGGCCTGTGGACTGCTCTAGCTCTTGTTGCTCACAGCACAGCTAGTACATATATTATGCATACGATTGCCCTTTAGATTGTCTCCTTGCATGTTAAATCGCTTAATTACTCACTGTGAACAGTATCTAATATATGCATTTTGAAAAATGCAAGGACATTTTTAAATCAGAGATTTAAAACTTTGTCCATTAAAATAAATTTATTAATTAAAGGTATTTGACTTTTTATAAAGAAAAAGATTAAATTTACTAATTTTTGTTTTAAAAATCTGATATATATCTATATCTCCAAAGACATCTGGTTATATTTTAAATAAAAATCACATTAATAGATATCAGCTGAGCACCTCCAATGTGCAAATTACTGTAGTAAAAAAGACAGCAGAATTTCTACACTTTCTACACATGGTCGTTTCTCAAGTCTTTGCAAATCTAACCATTATTAATTATGTGTTAAACTAAATAAAATTTATAAATGCCACACATGATAATTACTACAATATTGGGCTTAATATTTTTAATTTTTAAAACAAAAACACTTTTCTGGTCTTTTGCAAAATTCACTTTGGCCTTATTATAAACTTCTATGAATCTTTGCTTTATTAAGACACTATAGCTAAGAAGGTATTTTTTATCCTAACAAAGTTTTTTAGTAACCTTTAATGATTTACAATAATGTAAGTAGTAGAATTTAAAGGTATCATTATTTTAGTTTTGAGACTTTTTGAAAATCATTTACTTAAACCATTATTTTAGAGTGTTTTATCATTCATGCGTTTTTATCAATATCGGTTATCAATAATGCTTCTTATATTTTGAGAAGACCTTTAATTATGTTGCCAATAAAGAAAATAAATTGTCTAAAACCAATCAGGAGTTATTTTTCTGAGTAAATGTACATAAACAGATATTTGGGGCTTTTTCAAACCCCATAATGTGTCACCCAATATGAAACAGGTTTTCAAAGACATTTTATTAAGTAACATTAAATAAAGCCAAGTCACTATAAGGAATATCTCATTTATCAGGACGGTATTTCAGACTTGCAATGTAACACCACTTATCTTACGCACAGTTTGGTTAAATCAGGGGATCATAAGGTACTTTTGGCTTCAATCAAGCTACCTTCATCTTGAAGTACACTCAGGAGATTCATAGTATTTATTATATCATTTTCTTTACGATAAACTAATAAAGTGCATATTTATAAAAGAGAAATTGAAGTTTAAAGATGTTTTTGTTCCCAAATAGTTGAGCTAAGCCTTTATGTTTTTAAGTAATTTTTTGCTTTTTATCATGGTTGCCTATCAAACATAACTGAGATAGCTACATCTATAGTAACTATTTTAAATTATTACTTGGTTTTATTTTTTTACCGTGAAAATCTTTAAAAAATGCATAAAATTGAAAAAATATTATAACTAGTAAATGAACCTTTTACCACAAGTATCTCTTTGCCAGCACTGATGATTTTCAACAATTTTCCGACTTTGTTTCATCTATTCCTACCTCCACGTTGTAGGTAAAACATATATCAAATATATTGTTTTAACCACGCATCTCTTTAAAGAGTTTTCCTCTAAAACAAGATATTTCATACCCCCAAAATAAATAGCTCCATAGCAATTCAGTCATTTCTCAAATTTCTCTGATTAACTCAGAAATTTTTTTTATAGTAAATTTATGTTTTTCAATATGTATTCGAACAAAGATGTTGCATTCCATTTCCCACTTCTAATCTACAACACCTATCCTCTCTTTATGGTGCCATTTCTTTGTTGACAAAACCGGACCAACTATCCTGTAGAATTCCCCACATTCTATATTTGGTCGCCGGCAACCTCATCAGGCCATTTAACCTTCTCTCTTCCCTGACCCCAGTAACTCCCATAAAGCCATACTTTAATCAAGCGGCTAGAGTACATTTAAGTACTGTGGGCAGAAGTGGTGGGACTGTACTTCTCTAGGCTTTCAGAGGGACAAAATCTCTAATTGGTACACTTTTAGTGACATTAAGATTGATTAGTGGGTTCAGGTATTTCCAGTCTAACCCATCATGCAAAACTCTCCAATAAGAATACACCCTTACAATCACGCCACAGCACATAGGCACCTTCATCACTCCTCGTAATGAACGCTCACTATACCGCTGTATGTTCAACAAGTATCCTGCTGAAATACATTTGACGTGTTTCCAATATTTTATTACAAATGTTTGCAATGAATAGTTATCTTCATACATTATTTTGTATATTTCTACTGACTTAAGATTAAATTTCTAAAAGTTGGATAGCTGGATCTAAAGGTAAGTGCATGTATAGTTTTGCTAGAGACTGACAAATTTCCCTCCAAATGATGAACATTCTCACCATCTATGACTCTTATGATAAATGTGAATGACAAAATTATACAAGTTATCTACATAAAAGTAAGAAAAATCTGTATTTTAAAAAAGAATCTCTCAAATCAACTGCAGGAAGAATGTCTCAAGAAATGTTTTCTGTTTGTATTCTAGTACAAAAATTTAAGTTGCTTCTTATTATTAACCTAAAATAAAGTATAAAGAATATAAACACTGTTGTCACCTTCTTTTGACAATTGTTAATATGGCATTATTAAAAAATATAAAAATACTGTATGAACAAAAATCCATCACAAAATATTAGAGCTGGAAATTATATCTAAGTCCTAATATTTAAAAATATGGACATTAAAATCCAAGAGGTTGATTTTCTCAAATGTATGAGTAGGACCCAAACTTTCTTAGCTCCAATTTAATTTTATTCCTACTTTGACTGGAAAAAAAACTAAGTTAAAAGGTTTTATTCATAATAAAAAAGAAAATAAAAGCATGTCTTTGTAGTCAAATATCTGAATTTGAATGAACAATTTAATCCTATAATACCTTCAAAGGAAGTAATTTTGGTATTTGGAGACATGACATTTTATGCTTACTATAAATTTAAACTATTATAAATATAATGGTTCCCTTATTAAGGCATTTTACAAGAATTTATCTCATACTATAATTCTGTGTGTATGTGTATGTGTTCATGAGTATCTATTTGTGGTTGCTACTGGTAATTATTAATTTTAAGGTCAACTTTATTGCATGGACAAGAACCCTGCAGTTATTATTGAAGTGACTAAGACTTGAAACAGTAAACTCAGATCCACAAACCTCTCGTTTGGTTACATAAAGTAAATTAAAAATTGGGATTCTAATTATTATTTTCTTCTAAAAATAATCAACTATTTCATTAAGTGTTTAATTAGGATTTCCTTCTTTTAAACATTTGTTTTACAGGTTTTTTTTAAAAAATGTAATATTCTTCCAACGGGATTTATATTTCCATAATAGATTTTAAGATCACAGGAATCATGAGTCCATGGTACCGAGTAAGTGCCTTGAACAAACTGCGGATTGAAGAGACTGGATGCAGCCTAAACAATATTTAGCTTATCAAGGAAATGAAATGACTATGATCAGAGCTGTATAATATTGTGCATTTATTCCATACTTACCAGGAGGATGGGGAGTCTGTTCCTCTAATAATTCTAGATCAAGCATTAGATCATCTTCATCCAGTTCACAAGATCCCAAATTATTCAAAACATCCTGAAGAAAAAGAAAAATCATCAGTTAGACCAAAACACTGAACAACTGAGAAAATAGTCACATGCAAATGCCATGAAGCAAAAAAACAAACAAAAAAGAACCCTCAAATTAGAAGTGAAAAGTTTTAACTGATACCCAGAAATGATTTGACTATCTTTAAAATTATCAGCCCAATAAAAATTCCAAGAATTATTACAAAAATCTTAACTTTTCCAATTATTTACATGTTAGCTTTTTTAAAAGGACATGTATGTATAATTAAACAGACATATATATGTGAACAGGTATCAAAGATATTATAATACAGGAAAGTATTTGTTTTAATCAAAAGTTTTTAATGATCATGAGAAAAGATATTTTACTTATTAAAATGCACAAAGAAGGTATAATGTTTTTCAGATTTATAGAAGTCTGTGAACTAAAACCTGTGATTATTTTTCTAATATTTATCTTTCAAATCTGCTTAAGAGTCTTCTGACATATACAGTAAATTGTTTCTCAAAGAAATTTTGTACACAGTGCCCACTATGAGATATTAATTTAGACCATATTTGGAAATGGGGATCCAGTTATCATTTCTCAATCATTTGCTTTAGATTAGAAGGGATGAATGAAAGAAGTATTAGATTAAAAATTAACTACTGATTTGCATAATGCCATAAACTACAGAGCTAGATGTCCTTTCTTTTTTATCTTTATTGTTGAAAGTATTACAGATGTCTCCCTTTTTCCCCATTGACCCCTTCTTTGAGGAGTCTTGAAGAAAAATAGCGATATGCAAAGGTAGGTATTCTTGACAAAAGAATAAAGAATTGATTTGTGTATTTGTATATATAGACAGGTGGTAAATACATTAAGAAAAGCAAGAACTTATATTTAGAGATTAAGATTGAAATAACAAAGGTACAAAAAAATAGGACAAGAAAAAGAATCTAAATACTAAATGATACCATATCTCCAATCACTTTTTCTACTGATTTGAATGTTACCATAATTCATATTTAAATAAGTAAATATTCATTAAGGGAAGCCTAATGATATTGTCACATGGGCACTGAATACCTTTTTTCTTGGAATTAAAGACACTATAATTTATAAATAAACTACTCTCACTGTAAAAAACAGAATAAACATTATTAAGCTTTAGAAATGTGTTAGTCATGAATACAGCAAAATAGCCTTCAAAGGTGAAATATATACCCAAATCTAAGTGCTTCTTTCTGCAAATGAAAGTTACAAGGAACTATTTTGTATTGCATTAAATTGTATTGCATTGCATTGTAGTGTATTTGTATTAGTTACAAGGTAACTAATAATTTAAACTATAAATAAAATCAACTGTTTCTTGGAAGTGCTATAATATGCTGTGGCAGCGATAGCTCCCCGAGAGTAATTTGCTTATTTGTATAGCCTCAAAAAGATGTTATAAGATATAGGCATCAAAAGATAAGCTGTCAACTTCAATATGCAAAAGAAAATTGTTTGAATTTGAACAACAAAAGAATCATAAATGAAGTTAAATGGGAAAAAGGCAGAGTTTAAGAAGCGAAAGTTTATAAAGATATTATTGTTAGTGTTTATTAAATACTATCCAAATGGGAGAATCTTAATCTGCTAGCCAAGAACACACTGGTAAAAAAAAAAAAAGTTTTATAATCAAAGTGTAATAATTTATCCAGCTTCAAATTAACCTAAATAATTTTATCCTTGGATGTTAAATTTCAGTGACCAATATAATGGTGTTGTTTCCATCCAAATTTTATGTATTAAAGTACTAACCTCCCCAGTATATTAGAATGTGGCTGTGTTTAAAGATGGGAATACATGTCTTTTCAGAAGAAATTCCAGTTAAATCAGGTCATATGGGTTGGCCCTAAGCCAATATTACATGTTTTTATAAGGACAGGACACAGACGACACAGACAGAAGGATGACAATGTGAGGACACAGCAAAAAGGCAAGTCAGCTGCAAGCCAAGGAGAGGCCTCAGGAGAAACCAAGCTGCCTGCACTCTGACCTGGCACTTCTAGCTTCCAGAATTGTAAGAAAATTAATTTCTGCTGGTTAAGCCACACAGTTTGTAGTGTTTTGTTCTGGCAGTCCCAGCAAATTAATACAACCAACAACACTTAGAAAGCAATGAAGGTTGGAACAGAGGAAGAAAGGAAAAAATGAGTCCCTGGCATATGACTGTCACCTTTTTTTTGTTATGCCAACTGAGAACATCTTCCTCATTGTAACCTTTTACGGTTCGCTCTTCCTTTGATTTGCAACCACCCCACCCAATCCACCTAGATATAGAAAAAGGTACTAGATTCTCACATAGCTATAGCCCCTGTTTGGATGTAGTTTATTTGTGGGTGGTCCAAGATGGGCATCTTAACTAAATTACTGATCAGAACCCTTTTGTAAAAATGAGAAATGGGTTTTTTGGTGATACTGCAACATGCAAAATGCTGTCATCACAGGGACCTTGGATTTCACTGTATGGATACGACCATTGTAAATCTATGTGAAAAATGAAAAATATCATAGTAGTAGGTCATCTGGTTCCTGTTCCAGCAGCTACTAAAGTCTAGAGGAACACATGACTTTTTCAAGGTTGAATTGTTCAACCTTCTTTTATATTTTGACAGTTAATAAGATCCACCTATAATTCAAAAAAATAAAGTTAAGAAGGAAATACTTAAGAACCCTGCCACTGTCATTCCAACATTTAAGAAAATAACACCATCCCAGCCCATGTCATCGTCCCATGCACCAAGGGGTCACTGGTTCGATTCCCAGTCAGGGCACATGCCCGGTGGTGGGCTTGATTCCCAATAGGGGTGTGCAGGAGGCAGCCCATCAATGATTCCCTCTCATCGATGTTTCTCTCTCTCTCTCCCTCTCTCTATAAAATCAATAAGACCTATTTTTAAAACACAGAAAATAACAGCAACAAAGTGAACAAATTAATTTGGAGAACTCACTACATTGTTCCAATTTTATTCTTATTTTGTAGGTAGCCCTTGCCATTTAGACTAGCAGGGTCCATTTACTGCTGGTCTAGATAAACTCTTCTTAAGTCTACTCATTCTCAAGTGCCATGCTTGCTATCTTGCTTACTACACAACTTTCTTATTAGTGTGGGGGAGAGTCTTTGAAGCTGGTGAAACCTAATAATAAAAGGAAAGTAGATGCAGCAACATGATATGTTACAAAAGGAAAATCAATGTGAACTCATAAACCTAACAAATATATATTTTTTCCAGATCTCTCCTTAAAAGAGACCAATAGCAGCAAAAAATACGTTTACTCTCTGTCAGCATTAATGGGCAATTCAGATACTTGTTGCCCACTATCTACCAACAAAAAAGAACCAGGCTCTTTAGTTATTAGGGAAAGAAAAAAATGGGGGGAAAAATATATATATCTGGAATATCTTTTTGTTGCCAGAAAACAAGGCTCATCTAAAATAAAAAGCCAGAGGCAGTTCTGAAAGGCTAAGGAAATTAACCTAAATGGCTTCTCCCTGGCTAATTTCTGACAGTATGTAAATCAAAAAATAAAAATTGTTATCACTAAATAAAACAATGAGTCTCTTGAAGACTGAGTTCATAATACTCAAACAGAAAAGTTAATATGAAGGATATAAATAGGCACTAATGATATACACACAAAAACCACAAACAGGGTGGAATATCTTTAATTTCTATTGCTTTTAATAAATACTTAATATATGGGGTTCTTTTTCTAGTTACATGTACATTTACAATATGAAGACATGTATTTCCATCTGTATTAGGAAAGACTTATAAGTAAAATAAGAGTGTCAAATAGAGTAGTTCTGTATCAGTAATAGAAAAGACTAATCAGTACTGATGGTCACATATAATCAAGTAGAAAAGGGGTCCCGCATTTAATTAACACTAATAATCATACCCCGTATCTAAGCGTGCACAACTGTGTGTTTCAGACATTTGATAAATTAGCAAACTATCTAGAAGTGGTAACTAAACAGAAATAGTCTCTCAATTCCTGGAAGATAAAAACTTAATAGCTCTACATAATAAAGATATAATAATGAAAATCCATGAGATTTTAGTAACGTTAATATACCAGGCATATATATATATAATAACAGGAATATTGATATGTAACACAAGCAATTGGAACTTAAGCAAATGATTTTGTGAGGGGACACTAATATTGCACAAAATTAAAAGCTGGGGTTGAACTTTAAAAAAAGGCCTAACGACATATAACAAAGTTTAATTGAAAGAGTAAAGTCCAACCTGAGGGCCAGTATCTTGAGTTTAAAAAATCTCTGAATGGGCAGCAAATTCCAATGAGTAGACAAAATACTATGTTGTTAACAACCCAGACTATAAAAATTTGAGAGATAACTTTTTTTTTAAAAAAAAAAAAAGCAGGGTATAGTTACTAAATCCAAGGGAAGTGAAAAACTAGGCTCAGGTATTTCTGAAATCTTAAGGAAATACGAAAATTTCCACATCAGCCAGGTGGAAAAAGGAAAAAGGTAAGAAATGTAAATCCTTAGTATGAGCACATTTATAACCAGTTTTAGGGAAAGCGTATTGATTTGCTTTGGGAACACTGTAATATGTATAATTTTCTTTTCTAAAACTGGCTTAAGAATTTAAGATAAATTGATATTTTAGACGGTATTTTAATTAAACATTAGGAAGAATTTGATTACATAAAATTTCAACTAATGTTTAAATACCTTACAATACATTCCAATTTTTTGGCATATAGGATTTATATAAATATTTTGAGAACCNAGAATTTAATACACATTCCAATTTTTTGGCATATAGGATTTATATAAATATTTTGAGAACCATAAATTGTTTAGTTGTCAGAAAATATTAATTACATACTAAATTCGTAAGATTAATAAATTGGGTGTTAAATCAAGTATAATTATTACTAAGTATTCTCTAAGCACAGATTTAAAAATCTGTCAACAATACTGATTACTTATGTAATCTCCT